GATTCAAACCCGCCACCTTAGGTGTATGTGGCTGGCACCTTAGCCACTTGAGCCACAGGCGCCGAGCCAGCAAGTCTGACTTTGCTTTGTCATTTGGGTGCCAGGTGCCTTTTACCTTCCAGGAGTTTCAACCTGCCTGTTACCTCTCCTTCTTTTTCCTCTAGTATTTCTATGATTATCTCAATAAATAAATAAACAAAAATTAATCAATTAATCAGGCTCAAGCTGTTGCCCTGGGTAGAATGCCATGGCATCACAGCTCACAGCAATATCAAACTCTCGGGCTTAAGTGATTCTCTTGCTTTAGCCTCCCAAGTAGCTGGGACTACAGGCGCCTGCCACAATGCCTGGCTATTTTTTTTTGTTGCAGGTGTCATTGTTGTTTAGCTGGCTGGGGCCGGGCTTGAACTCACCAGCCTTGGTGTATGTGGCCGGCGCCCTACCCACTGACCTATGGGTACTGCCCCCTATGATTATTTTTTAACATACCCCAAATTAATGTTTGTGATTGGCACAATGTAGAGGTCTAACTTTTTTTTCTGAAATTGTCCTGTGTTTTTTTGGACAGTTTTGCCTTTCCCCACTAATTTCAAATGGCTTCTTGATCACACTGTCTTTCCGCATGCAAGGGGTCAGCATGTGGACTTACAAGACATGCCACTGATCTCCATGTCTATTTCAGCATCAGCACCGCAGCTCCTGCCTCCCACCACTGCAGTTTATTGTGGTGTCTGATAAGTGGAGTCCCCTTTTCTTATTTTCCCCATATTTAATTTACTCTTTCAATCAACATAAGCCCTTCAAACAAATCCTACTGGAATTTCAACTATAACTTTACTATGTTTTTAGGTTAATTTTAGAAGAATTGACAACTTTATAACATTAGGTTGCCCTGCCCTCTGACTTGGTAAGTCTCTCCATTTAAACCTCCAGGTGGTTTATGTTTTTGAAAATAGTTTTACAATTTTATTAGTCTTTGTACATCTTCTTGCTACATTTATTTTTAGGGATTTTCCTGCTATTGTGAATGGAATCTTTTCCCATTATATATTCTAATTGGGTATTACTGGTATAGATAAAAGCTTACAATTGTTTAATATTTTACATCTGATCACCTTGTGGAATTCTTCTGATTGTTTATCTACTGTTTCTCTTAGATCTAGGCTAGAATAGCTTATTAACCATTTTCTCTGAGCTCTATTTTTTCTGGGACCAAAATCTCCTTTTAAGACAGAGCTGGTCAAGACTATACTGTTCTGCTTACCCTCTTCTCTAGTTCCCTGCTACCTATATACACACAACATGCCCCTCATCCAGGGCCTCTGGGAGCTGGTTCTGACTCACTTGTCTCTTCCCCTCTGACTACCTGCCTTCTGGCATGGGGCCTGCAGCTCCAGTGACAGAGGCTTGCTTGAATTCAGTCAGGGCCTGTTTCTCTACCCAAGCCTCTGCCTATGCTGCTGTTCCCTACCCTTCTCTGTCTGCCTGACTGGTAATCATCTTTTAGGGTGACATCCAAGGTCACCTTACTCTAAAGCCTTTCCCAAGCTTCCCAGGCAGAGTTCAGTACTCCCACTTGTGTGCCCTAAGAGCTCGGTAGAATCCTTTTCTACTGTCACATAACATGAAGCTGGCCAGGTGGACCAAAGGCCTCAGGTAGGGTCCAACCTAATTCAAGGCCCTGGCACAAAGCCTGGCGTAATCACAGGTATTGAATGAATGAACAGGTAAGCAGAAAAACTGAACAAGATGACGACACTTGGTTAAATTCTACTTTTCTCATGAGAATTCTTGTGTCTGGAAGTGACTGCTCCTCCTATTTCTGAGGGCTCTTGCCCCTAGTTCATAGCACCTTCCACCTTGAAGAATAATGCTTACGGCCAGGGTGTACCTCCTAAGCTGTCCCTGGACTTAAGAGGCACATGACCTACCCAGCTGGCTGAGGTCTCTTCCCTCCGCTGCATCATCTGGGCATCATTCACGTGTGGGAGCAATGAATGGCAGAGGAAATGGAAGAACCCCATCTGAGACTCACCAGTGCCAGCCTCCCGCTCTCGCAGTGTCTGATCCACGTAAAGCCGGGTCTTTCGGGGCACGTTCAGTTTCATGGCCTGGGCTGGTGGGGGGCCCACTTCACCTCCCCCCTCTGTAAACACTGCTGTCCGCTTCAGGATCTTGATAATCAGGCCACCACCTAGGGAAGGGGACAGATGGAAACAGATTTGTCCTCCCCAGCTCTATCCACATTCCCATTCTTTCATCCCCAAACAACCTGCCGCATACAGAGCCATTTCTGTATATGTCTGTCCTTCCTGATAAGACTCAGTTTCTGAAAGGAATGTGTCTTTTTTTTTTTTTTTTTTTTCTTGAGACAGAGCCTCAAGCTATCCCCCTGGGTAGAGTGCCGTGGCTTCACAGCTCACAGCAACCTCCAACTCCTGGGCTCAAGCGAGTCTCCTGCCTCCACCTCCCAAGTAGCTGGAACCACAGGCGCCCGCCACAACGCCCGGCTATTTTTTGGTTGCAGCCATCATTGTTGTTTGGCGGTCCGGGCTGGATTCGAACTCGCCACCTTAGGTGTATGTGGCTGGCGCCTTAGCCACTTGAGCCACAGGCGCCGAGCCAGGAATGTGTCTTAATAGCTTGATTATTAATTTATTTTTAGAGACACGGTCTCACTGTCACTCAGGCTAGAGTGCTGTGGCATAATCACAGCTCACTGTAACCTCAAACACCTGGGCTCAAGTGATCCTCTTACCTCTGCTTCCTGAGTAGTGGGGATTGTAGGCACATGGCACTGTGCCTGGCTAATTTTTTTAGTTTTTATAGAGATGGAGTCTTGCCATGTTTCCTAAGCTGATCTCAAAATTCCTGGCCTCAAGTGATTTCTGCCTTGGCCTCCCAAAGCATTGTGACTATAGGTGTAAACAAGGCTTCCAGCCTCTTGGCATTATTAATTCATTCAGTGGTTACTAATCGAGTATGGGATGCTCCTGGCATTGTGGCAGGCACTGGGGATTTTGCGTGAACCAGAGATGCAGCCCTGTCCAGCAAACTGCTGATGAGCTGTCTTAGTGGAGGCCCAGCCAGCTGGGATCGGGTCTGTAGGCCTTGCTTCCACATCTAGGTCCACCCACACTTCATGCCCACCTCCCTCTTTCCCTATCCTCTCACTCCCAACTCAATGCCCTTGCTGAGTCTGGCTCTCCTCACCTCGAGTAGTCATAATGAGGGTGTTGTCTTCCCGTCCATAGCGGCCAAAGCAAAGGCTGGTCACCGGGTCCTATGTAGAGACAACAGTTTAGTTGGGGAAATAGCTTAGAGAGGAAGGCCAGATGGGGACAAGGATGGGGGAGACCTCAGCTATAAGATGTAATAACAGATGTGAGGTACAGCCTGGCGCAATGTTACTTCTGCAGTAGTTCCCCTCCAACCTCACCGCCACAGCTGCACTTCTAGGTGGTCTTCACTTTTGGGGTCGACCTCCTGACGGGTCTCCCAGCCTAGTCTTTCTGATCTTTCTCTCCAACTGTCCTACAAAGCTGCCTCTCCTTCCTTCCTTTTAAAAATTACTTTCTAGGGATAAAGTCTTGCTATGTTGACCAAGCCTGCTCTGCTGCCTCTCAAAATAAAAACAGGCCTAGTTGCCACTAACAAACCTCCAGTGGATTTTTCCCTACTTGTCAGGGCACTGAGGGCCTTCCACATCTCCTACCTACCTTTCCTGTCAGTTCTCTCCTCTCTTCCCTTCTCCCAACCTGCACACCACCTGTCTTCCCAGCACCTATGGGCCGAGCCAGTTGCTTTCAAATTTTGTAACATGATGCAAGGCAATTTACACACGTCATATACTCTGAATTTTTTATTCTATTTTTTTTTGAATGTTGCTGATATGATCCACTAAATTGATTTAATGACTCACAACTTAAGAGTTTGAAAAACTCTAATCCAAACTCAAACTACCAGTCACTCAGCCTCTCTGCTTTCACAGCATCTGTGCCTCAGTCTGCATTGGCTTTTAACCTGCTTAACCTTCCTGAAAACAAGGACTTAGTCATTACCCCATCCCCTATCCCTAATGCAGTGACTTGCATAAGATGCTTGACCAAAGTTTCTGAAATGCATTAATGTGGCTCCAGGAAAAGCAGCCAAGATTCCCAAAGGTGGGACTAGGTCAAGGAGGAGTCAGCAGCAGATGCAGAGATGGGGCTCACCGGGGTGTGGATGACGTTGAGCAGCGCCTTGTCACGGTAAATGCGGACCTCTCCATTGGCCAGCCCAGCCATGACGGCCTGCAGGCCCCGGGAGCGCTGCTCCAGGAGATTCATGGTCAGGATGGCTGCAGGCATCTGCACTGTCCACAGCTTCTTCCCCTGTCAGGGAACAGCCAGTATCTGTGGGGAGCTCAGGGCTTAGAGTGGAAAGAGGAGTTGCTGGGAAGGGGAAACCAGAAAGGCTCTCCTGCACGAGCACCGGGAGACACGAGTGGAGGGGCCAGTGCCTGCAGAGCCGCACCTTGTGAGTGAAGCCGTGCAGGCTGTCTTGGGTGCTGCCCACCACCAGGACCTTGTGTATCCGGACAAGCCCCACAGGCTGGGCGCTCAGCTCGATGCAGTACTTGGGGTGCTTGGAGTCTCTGTGGAAAAAAGACACACTCGGGCCCAGTGCAGTGGCTCATGCCTGTAATCCCAGGAAGCCAAGGTGGGTAGATCACTTGAGCTCATGAGTTCAAGGCCAGTCCGAGCAAGTGTGAGACCCCATCTCCAAAAAATAGCCCAGTGTTGTGGCTGGCGCCTGTAGTCCCAGCTACTTGGGAAGCTGAGGCAAGGGGACTGCTTGAGCCTGATAGTTTAAGGTTGCTGTGAGCTGTAATGCTACAGCACTCTATGGGGGCAACAAAGTGAGACTTTGTCTATGTTGTCCTTGGTAGAGTACTTTGGTGTCACAACTCATAGCAACCTCCAACTCCTGGGCTCAAGCGATTCTCCTGCCTCTGTCTCCCAAGTAGCTGGGAGTACAGGTGACTGCCATAATGCCTGACTATTTTTTAATGCAGTTGTCATTATTGGTTAGCTGGCCTGGGCTGGGTTTGAACCCACCAACTTTGGTGTTTGTGGCTGGCGCTATAACCACTGTGCTACAGGTGCCAAGCCTGACCTTCCTTTTTCTAAGCCCCACAGACTAACCCAAGAGGGACTCCAACCCCAAAGCAGATAGCCCTGGGATTATTTCCACCTTTACCACTTAGCAGTCTGACTCTGGATAATGTCAAGTGTATTTCGTACCCTGTCTCCCTCCTGCTTTCACTGTGGTGGTTTGTATGATAACCTGGCATTTAATATGTTCAGGGCCAGGAATAGTGGCTTACTCCTATAATCCTAGAACTTGGGGAGGCCAAGGCAGAAGGATCACTTGAGCTCAGGAGTTTGAGATCAGCTTAAGACACATAGCAAGAGCCTGTCTCTACAAAAAATACAAACATTAGTTAGGTGTAGTAGTATGCATCTGTAGCCCCAGCTACTTGATAAGCTGAGGCTGGAGGATCGCTTGGGCCCAGGAGTTGAATGCTGAAGTGAGCTATAATTATACCACTGCACTCCAGCCAAGGCGATAGAGTGAGACCCTGTCTGGGGGGTAGGGAGTGAGATACACACACACACACAAAAAAAAACCCCAAATCATTTTCAGCTAGTTTAACCTTAGAGCAGCCTAGCCAGTGCGAGTGGGCTTAGGCAGTTCACGAACTTATTAGAAAAGGATGAGGAGTTTGCCCTGTGTAAATGCACTGTTTTCAGTTCCCTGGTTTCTTAGTTTCCTTTTCCAGAAAGTGGGGATTCCTGCCTGCCAATCCCAAGTTTGAGGCTGCTCTTATCATCTGATGACTGTGAGAGTCTCCTCCAGTGGGTCTCTGGGCTCTTTCCAATCTCCCCTCCATCCAGCAGGGTAATCTTTGTAAAATGTAAATGGATTATGTCTTCTGATTAAAATTCCATGATTTTCCATACTTCAGGTAAAACTCAATCTTCGCTAGACCACCAGGTCTTATATGAGCAGACCCTGGTCTTTTTTTTGAGACAGAATTTTACTTTGTCACCACAGTTCATAGCAACTTCAAACTCTTGGCTCAAGGGATCCTCTTGCCTGAGACCGAAAATAAGGACTTAGTCATTACCCCATCCCCCATTCCCAATACAGTTGCTGGGACTACAGGTACCTGCCTCACTGCCTGGCTATTTTTTTTTTTAAGAGACGAGGTCTCACTTTGGCTCAGGCTGGTCTCAAACCTGTGAGCTCAGGCAGTCCACCAGCCTTGGCCTCCCAAGTGTTGGAATGATGGGGTGAGTCACTGCACCTGGCCCAGACCCTGGTCTTGACCTCATTTCTTTCCACCATCCACCTTGCCCACCAAGCTGAACACCATACCAATGTCTTTCCCACTTTGAGGTTGTCCACAACACTTTACTCCTGCTTTTTGAATAACTGGCTATTTCGTTTTGAGACAGAGTCTCATTCTGTCACCCCAAGTAGAATGCTGTGGCATCATCATAGCTCACAGCAACCTTAAACTCTTGAGCTGAAGTGATCTTCCTGCCTCAGCCTCCCAAGTATCTGGGACTACAGGCATGCACTATGATACCTGGCTAATTTTTCTATTTTTACTGGAGATGGGGGTCTCAATCTTCTACAGGCTGGTCTTGAACCTAAAGGGATCTAACCTAAAGGGATCCTCCTGTCTCAGCCTCCCAGAGTGCTGGGATCACAGGCATGAGCTACCATGCCTGGCTGCAACTGGTTCTTTCTTAACCTTCAAGCTACTTCCTGAGATAAGCATTCAGGATCTCTCCTGCCCCATTATCTTTTCCCATTGAGCCTGCGTTCTTGAATAGCACTCACTCAAAATGCAATAATACCTTAGTCTGCTGACTTTATATCTATCTTCCCCAGGGCAGAGACTATGTTTATTTTGTTCATGAATATATCCCAATACCTTGCAAAATGCTTAATGCAAAGTACATGCTCAATAAATATTCCTTGAATTAAATAAATGAATGTTGAATGAGCAGATAAGTATCATGTACATGTAAAGTGATATAACAAATATGACCATTTTTCTGTCCTCCCATTTCTTTTTTTTTTTTTTAGACAGAGTCTCACTTTGTGGCCCTCAGTAGAGCGCCGTGGCGTCACAGCTCATAGCAACCTCAAACTCTTGCGCTAAAATGATCTCTTTGCCTCAGCCTCCCAAGTAGCTGGGACTAGAGGCGCCCACAACGCCCTGTTATTTTTAGAGCTGAGGTCTTGCTCTTGCTCAGGCTGGTCTCCAATCTGTGAGCTCAGGCAATCCACCCACCTTGGCATCCCAGAGTGCTAGGATTACATGCGTGAGCCACCATGCCCAGCCCTGTCCTCCCATTTCTGACTGTGCTGCTCCTCTATTATGGTCAGCCCTATCTCCTACTTTGCCAGCCCCCATCTCACAACTCTCTGGCTATCCCCCTATCCTCAAGGGCTCAGCCACCTTTATGAAGTCCTTATCTCTTCTCATTCCTAAATCCAGCCCCAAAGCCCCAGGCGCATCTTGCAAGTCCCTGAATCCATTAGGTTTCCTCAGTGCACTACCTTCTCAGTATGTAGATGTTCCCATTGCGGCAGGCAGCAGCAAGCCGGAACTCGACATCAAACTGGCCAGAAACCTCCAGGAAGACGGGGACACTGGGAAGGCTCATCTGCAAAGAAGAGGCTCAAATGCCCTGATTTCTTTGGAGCCCCTGTCCCCTGCTTCCCCGAAGTAACATCTGAGTTAAGTTTCTTGTCTGAAGCACCTCACTCACAGCCCGCTGGTCACAGCAGAACTATACAGTGTTTCTAGAAGGAACCTCTGCAACAAGTGGCAAAAGCCTTTTAGGCTCTTTGATGGGACTATGCTACTCCTAGGACTATATCCTGAGGAAGCTTTTAAACAAGGATGCAGAGATGTTCAGGCAAGGAATTCTGCAGCGGTGGTGTTAATAGTAGTGAAAAATGGAAAACAACTTGAATAGGTGACTGGGTAAATAAATTATGGTGCCTCTATATAATGGATATTATATATCAGAACTGTAATAGGAGATTTCTGGGAGTGTGGGATTTTTGGATATATATCTTTATGTTCATCTACAGCAGTGGTTCTCAACCTTCCTAATGCCTACATGTATTTTCATTGTTATAAAGGGATTGTGACCCACAGGTTGAGGACCGCTGATCTACAGTTTCTAATTACCAAAGTGCACTACCATAAACTAACTGGGGAGCGGGAATGCAGCCTGGGCTGTGGGTGTGCCCAGGGCCAGACCCGGCACTGACCTTGGCCAAAATGGTGAAGGCCTCAGGGTCTAGCACCAGGAGCTCCTTGTCCTCAGTGCCTACTACCAGGCAAGAAATAGCATCTTCATCAGCCAGGTTCTTCTTCATGGTGGTCATAGCCGTGATGACTGTCTGTAGGACCCCAGGGGTCAGTCTGGGAACCCCCACACATCATTGCCCCAGACACCCCAAGATGGGAAGGAGGGAAGAGGGCAGGAGGAGGAAGAGGAAGTATCAGAGACATGACAGAAGATTTATGTACAAAGGTTTTTCTTGCACAAAGGTTTTCTTGCATCAAAGAACATTGATGAGCTCTTTTTTTGAACAATTCCACAAAGGTGGTGTTCTTTGAGACTATTTAATGCTTAAAATGTTACATACTCAAGGGAAGCAGGATATAAAAGCACACTTATCGAGAACGCGTACCAAAATGTAAGAGTGGGTACCTCTGGGTAGTGAAACTATAGTCATTTATATTTCTCCTTTATCCTTCTTTTTCTTTTTTTTTTTTTTTTGAGACAGAGCCTCAAGCTGTCCCCCTGGGTAGAGTGCCATGGCATCACACTCACAGCAACCTCCAACTCCTGGGCTCAAGCGAGTCTCCTGCCTCAGCCTCCCAAGTAGCTGGGACTACAGGTGCCCGCCACAACGCCTGGCCAGTTTTTGGTTGCAGCCATCATTGTTGTTTGGCGGGCCCGGGCTGGGGATTCGAACCCGCCACCTTAGGTGTATGTGGCTGGTGCCTTGGCCGCTTGAGCCACAGGCGCCGAGCCTATTCTTCTTTTTCTAAAACTTCTGTAATAAAAATGTATTCTCTTCACCCCCAAGAAAACAAAAATTATGTGCAAGTTACATAATGTTTTATATTTCAATATGAAAAGCTGTGACTGGAAGTGCAGCTTGGTGACTACACAGTGAAGTGAAACAACTCGGGTTTGGTTGTAGAATTTACCCCGATGTTAAGGGGCCTTTAACAGAAAGTATTTCTCATAAGGAAATGAAAAGAGAAGGGGGGTGGCACTTGTGGCCCAGTGGGTAGGGCGCTAACCCCATATACCAAGGGTGTGGGGTTCAAACCCGGCCCTGATCAAACTGCAACAAAAAAATAGCTGAGCGTTGTGGTGGGCGCCTATAGTCCCAGGTACTCAGTTGATTCTCTTGCCTCAGCCTCCCAAGTCCAGGAGTTGGAGGTCGCTGTGAGCTGTATGACGCCCTGGCACTCTACCGAGGGCAACAAAATAAGATCCTATCTCTACAAAGGAAAAAAAAGAGAGAAGAGAAGAGAAGACAACATTACCTGCCGCTTGATGGACTTGGACTTGTGCTGGTTTACAAATGCCTCCATCTCACTGAGCTCCAGCTGCAGAAATCTGGACACACAAGGCATCTGGTGGCCATGCTCCCCAGGCCAATCTGCGGCCATCCCTCCACTGGGGCCCAGCTCCCCCCATAGGCCTTACCTGAGAGACTGTACAGACAAAGGTACCTCCGCCTTCTCCCTGAGAGGAGAGGGACAATGGAAGGTGTAGTTGAGGAATGAGGCCCTAGGGGGTGGACTGGAGGAAGGAGCGGGGTGTGGGAAAGGCTAGCGCTTACCGGATGCCTTCCAGCATCTCCTTCAGGGTTAAGGGGTCTATCCGGTCCTAGGACACACAGGAAGGAGGAGATCCTATAAGCGCCAGTAGGCAGGGAGCTCACTTCTGGGAGTCCTTCTTCCTCCCCACTTCCTTGCCAACTGCCTCTGCACTGAGCCCCAAACTGAAGCCTTTTATCTGAGTCCAGCCTTAGGGCCATGCACATCATCCCATTTATCCTTGGCTTCCCAAAGCTCCTTCTCCCCACCACCCTGCCCCTGTTTCTTGTCCTTCTCTGAAGAGCACCTACCTTCTTTGGTTTCACCTCTCCCAAAACAGAAATTTTCTGGGTTGTGCTCTCCAAAGGGCCTGGCTGAATGCCCCCTGGGAACCCAGCCCTCTTTACCCTGTGGCTGCCATCTTTGCCTTGGTTCCCATCCCCTCCTTGTTTACCTCCTTGGCCTGGTGCCAAAGGTCTTGCTCCAGAGGGTTTGGAGGTAAAAGGGGTAGACTGAACTTGAAGTAGGGTCTGAGGTTCTTATACACATAGACACAGGGCCCTGAAGCGAGTGCCAGAGCTGGAGCCTGGGGCTCGTGTTGCTCCATGAGGAAGGTCGCAGCAGCAGCAGGCAGAGCAGGTAGTGGGCTTTCAGTTAGCACTGCTGGTCCTTTGAGCACCTTCAGGCGGGGCTGCTGCCCACCTGGGCCAAGGTCCCCCACCACCAGCTGTAGAGAGAAGATGGCTCATTCAGGCTCAGGTCTAAAATCCTTCCTTGCCCATCTTCTTGGGCTCAGTCTTTCTGTTGGTGCTATTCCTAGGATTATATCCCAAAGAAGTGTTTAAACAAGGATGCAAAGATGTTCAGGCAAGGAAGTCTATAGTGGTGGTGTTAATAGTAGTGGAAAATGGAAAACAACTTGAATAGGTGACTGGGTGAATAAATTATGGTACCTTTATATAATGGATATTATATAACAGAATTTTTTTTTTTT